AAGGGCTCCTTTACGCTTCAAACGCAAGGAGGAGAAGGGAGAAACCTCCCCAACCTGTCTGCCCTCGGAGCTATTAGGTTCACTCCACCTTCCCCCAAGGCCTTTTCTGCCACAGGCTGCCCCAAAGGTGCAACTACAGGGTAAAGAGAGAGTCCCTGTGCAACTCTACGGGGGCACTACTGTTCAGCCTCAACGTGCACACATATCCCTGTCCCCTAGAGTGGCACTGTTGAGGTCCTCCTTCATTTGCCCAGTGACACTGTTTTCTAACCATGAAGCCTTCTCATTCCCCCTCCTCCCCCACCAAGCCTAGGCCTGCTTGAGCCCCTGGCACCCTCCCTACCGCGGGCCCCAGTCACCTTGGCTAGGGACAGAAGTTACACATAAATCAGTTTAAGTGACCAGAAACAGATTTAAACCCATAACAGAAGTTCAGTGCACATAAACCAGTTTCAAAATGGCTAAAACCGGTTTGAGATGAACCTGGTTGAATGCAGTATCAGACTCAACTGATTTGGGTCAAACCAGTTTATGGAACTTCTGTCCCTGACCCTTGACACCCGGTGGCTGAAGCAGGTCATCATGTGCTGCCTGTGGATGCTGAAGATGTCCTGGATGACAGCAATGCAACCCTCAGGAGAGCCCTGATTGCCCTGTCAGGAGAGAGGGAAATCCCTCCTCCATTGCCTTCCTGTTGCTCATTTTGACTCCTGTGGGTCTTAACACTTTGGCCAGCTGGAAGAAACAGGAGGTCCCTGTAGAAAGTGTTGGACACGCTGGAAAACTAAGATAAATCAATGCTTATCCAGGGCAGGCAGAGGGCAGGCAATCCCTCTTTCACCTCAGGCTCCCTTGAGGCTGTAGGAAGACCAATTCTTCTCTCTGCTTCTGCAGTCCCCACAAGAGATAATAGCACAGCCCTGCCTCAAGGACAAGGACCAGTGCGGAGGATAACCTCAGTAATGGCTGAGAGCTGCCCCGAAAGGTGTTACTATAGCAACAGAGGCTTGAGAAGTGCCACAAGTAGCACTTGCTTCCACCTCCCCTTCTCCACCTTGGTTTGGAGGAAAGTGCAGTGAGGGATGCCACTGCCCAGCCAGTTCAGGTCCCCGTGTCCCTGCTGGACCTGGCCCGAGTGTGCCGTTAGCTCCCTGACCTGGAGACTTTGCACGGCGGAGGTCCTGCGCCTGCAGGGAACTCTAGGAGAGCCCTGTGCAGTGAAAGGCTGGTGCTGGGCTCTCTGCTCACACAGCCCCACTCTGGGGCTGAGCCCTCCAAGCGGTTCCTGTAGTAAACCCATTCCCGGGGCTAAAGGAAGTAGGGAATGCAGCTCCTGCTCCTCTCTTGGCCCCCCACAACAAAATCCCCCTCCATCTCGACTGGCATAGTGGCCCTTCAATCAAACCCAAATTCCTGGTTGTGACGTGAAAGGCCTAGGCACTCGCTGCTGCCACAGGCAATTTGGTCTTGTTTCTGATACAAACTGGCCCCATCTGAATGGTGAAATAATAGGCACCTGTACACATGCTGGAGCTCTGCTCCAGCATGTGCTAATTTGCACACATCAGAGCAGGCTCAATTTCATAGATTTCATTTCATAGACATTCAGGCTGGAAGGGACCCCGGAGGGTCATCGAGTTCAGCCCCCTGCCCTTGCTGCAAGTCTGCTGGAGCATGCTAATTAGCATGTTCCAGCAGCCTCCGTGTCACATGTCTTCAGCATCCTCATGTTTCAATATGGTGACAGGGGCACTTTGATTAAAGTTTGTCAAACAAGCTTTAGTTAAAGCGCCCCTGCTGCCATTTTGAAGTGTGGGATGCTAAATACATGAGGTGCAGCAGGCTCTTTAATTAAAGCAGCTTTCAGAACCACTCTAATTGAAGTGCCCCCCAACCCCTCCAACTGCATGTGTATAGACCAGTGGTTCCCAACCTTTTTTTGTTGCAACCCTAAATTGGCCACCAACAGGACCTCCCAACAAGGCACCACGAGGGCTGCTGGGAGCAGTGTGGTGGCAGCAGCAGCAGCCCAGGGACGGGGGCAGGGGAGCTGCCATTGCCCCCTTTTTACGTGAGTGTGTGGGTGTGTGTGCAGGCCCTTTGCAACCCTACTGAGGACCCCCCGCGACCCTGATTGGGGTCATGCCCCGAGGTTGGGAACCAATGGCATAGACACTCAGTGTCAAGAATCCCACCCTGCATAGCTGAAGGAAGTCCTCTAATCTGTGTAAGAGGCAGTACCACATGGAGGAGATTTTAGCAAAAGGATCTTGGGAATTTATCATGAGCAAGAGCATGCGGTCATGATGGGAAGAAACATTAAACTGGCTCTCAGCTCTTTGATTGGTGGCCAGCGTTTTGACTGGGAAGTTGAGGGTTTGCTTTTGGTTGGGGGTTTTGTTTTGTGAGCTAACTTCATTTTTGCTCCTGCCTGTAAGAGAGCATTTGTTTGCACTGTAACACAGGCCCTATCTACACAAGACATTTTAATTGGTTTCAAAATGGGACACTCCTATATTGGCTTCAGAGTTATTCTATTTAGCTTAACCTAGGTGATTCCTCATTGATCTAAGCCAAACTGCAATAAATCTGGTTTAAACTTATTTAAATCAGTTTGCATTAGAGTTTGCATTAGGTTCAAAACCACACCTTTCTGTAAACTACTACCAACTTATTAGGGTTGACAAGATATCATTAAACCATCTCTGTTGCCTCAAGTATTTAACTGTGGTGAATATCTGAAAAGAAAATCTCTTTTACTTCTGATTTTCAATAGCAGGTTGCTGCAAGGGAAATTACCACTATTTTCAGTTCTCATGGGAGCATATGCTTTTGGCTGAAGAGCTTGTGAATTTTTTCCTGCCTGGTAAGCATTAAGTTATGGGACTCTTAAATTAATAAAATTTTATTGGATCAAGTGGTATGGAGGAGGAGAGAGATGAGGAAATCTCTCTTGCAAGCAAGCTAAGGAAGTACAGGTTGGATGAATGGACTGTAAGGTGGATAGACAATGGGCTGAATCATTGGGCTCAAAGGGTAGTAATCAATGGCTCGATGTCTACTTGGCAGCTGGTATCAAATGCAGTGCTCCAGGGGCCAGTCCTAGGGCTGGTTTTGTTCAATATTTTCATCAATGACCTAAAAAAAGGGATGGCTTTTACCCTCAGCAAAATGCACATCAAGCTCAGGGGAGTAGTAAATATGCTGGAGGGTAGGGCTAGGATTCAGAGAGCTTGACAAATTGGAGGACTGGACCAAAAGAAAACCTCGTGAGGTTCAATAAGAAGAACTGCAAAGTCCTGCACTTAGGATGGAACAATCCCATGTACCAGTACAGGCTGGGGACTGACTGGCTGGGCAGCAGTTCTGCAGGAAAGGACCTGGGGGTTACAATGGACAATAAGCTGGATATGAGCCAGCAGTGTGCCCTTGTTGCCAAGAAGACTAATAGCATCCTGGGCTGCATTAATAGGATCACTGCCAGCAGATCAAGGGAAGTGATTATTCCCCTCTATTCAGCACTGGTGAGCCATGTCTGGAGTACTGTGTTCAGTTTTGGGCCCCCCACTGCAGAAAGGACATAGACAAATTGAAGAGAGTCCAGCAGAGGGCAATGAAAATGTTAGGGAGTTGGTGCACATGGGCTTATTTAGTCTGGAGAAGAGAAGACTGTGCGGGGATTTAATAGCAGCCTTCAGCTACCTGAAGGGGGGATCCAAGGAGGATGGACCTAAACTGTTCTCAGTGGTGGCAGATGAGCAATGGACTTAAGTTGCAGGAAGAGAAGTTTAGGTTAGCTATTAGGAAAAACTTTCTCACTAGTTGGGTAGGAAAGCCCTGGAATAGATTACCCAGAGAGGCTGTGGAATCTCCATCCTTGTACATTTTTAAGACCCAGCCAGCCTTTGCTGGGATAATCTAGTTGGGGCTGGTCCTGCTTTGAGCAGAGGGCCAGACTAGATGACCTCCTGAGGTCCCTTTCAACCCTAATATTCTGTGATTCTATGAAATAACTTCTTTCTTATCCTGAAGTATAGGAACAAAAAAAAAGTTTTTCAAAAAATTTTTAGCACTTAAAGTTGCTGACAGTTAGTAGGATTTTCAAAAGCAACATTTTCCTTTATGATTTTAGAGAAATTTGTAAATCTAGCCCCACAAAAAGAGAACATCTGTTAGGATGGACTTTCCTGAACTCTGCAGGACATACAGTATTACCAGGTTTTCCTCTCCTTTTCTACTTCCATTCCTGATCCACTGTTCTCTGGGTCAAAAGTGTTCTGCAGCATTAGAGGTGTTTCCATCTACTCCATAGCCCGGACTGCATCACTAAGGTCACCTCTATTTTTTCCCCACTCAACCACTGAAATACTGTATTTTCCTTAAAATTCAGTGTAATGTGAACTGTGCTTTAGGCACTCCCCCAAGGGGCCTTATTCGGCCTGCTGTGAAAATTTGAAGTTTAAGCAATTTTAACTATGATGTGAAACTTTTTTATGTGGATAAAAGCAGGTGTGGAACTGAAAGCAAACCTCTGTCCCAGGAGTGATTTATACTGTAGAAGTGAGAGCCCTGGCAAGGCCCACACATTCCTTTCCCAAGTACACGATGTTCCTTTCACATGACTCTTTTTAAAGCCATATTGGAAAGACTTTCTTTATAAAGTTTATTAATAAACAAATTATGGTGTTTGTACAATTTCCATGGCCTGTAACCAATTTCTTGAATAAAGGAATATGTCCTGCAGGAGCTCTGCACCCTGGTGTGGGCAGTGTCCCTCACCTTCACATTTTTCTGCACTTTCCTCCTCCTGCAAATGCCAGATAGCAGCTTTTAGACATGCGATGGCTTCTGACAACTCCAGGCCATGTCATCTTGAAAGGAATTACAGCTCTTGCAAGTGAAGGGGTTTAGGAAAGATCTTCAGAGCAAACAATGTCTTCTTCAGGGCCCTACTGAGTGAGCTTAAAGGATTCTCCAGTCATCATGGCCACAAACTCTGAAAGGGAGAGAACCATAGAGCAGATTTATTAGCCTCACCTGATGCTGTCGGCATGAATCTCAGAGTGGGTGTAGGAGTTATCACAGGTTGATACACCCAGTATAGGATACTTCTATGGAAATTACTGAGGGGATTGGGTCTGCAGCACAGGGATACTCTTGAAGCTCAAACAGCACTTTGAGCCCAGCACTCTTGACTCTTAATGTGTGGGATTTGCTTAGAAATGGAAGGGGATCTCCTCTTCCCCTGTATAACATACATGCCTGCCTTCCATCTTTGTGCTCAGACCACAGGGCAAATTCTCCACTGGTGTAGTACCACTGAAGATAGATGTTCGCATTGTGACTTTAAAACTCACCACACTAGTTCAGAGCAAAAATGATGGGCCTCATCCAAAGCCCAGGAGAATCTATAATGCTAAAAGAAGGAGTTAGTTGTTTTGCTTTTTTTTAAACCAGCCTTTAATTTATAGAGATACAGGGAGAGGGGAATCCAAAACTGTATTTTCCTTTCCAGTTTTAAAATGAGTTGAGCAATTCCAGTTTTGCATCTTACAAGGATCTTGCCCTGCTTTCATGCAGAGAGCCTGCCTGCTAAGCTCTCACCTAAAATAAATTATTAGTATGAAACTCACAGAACCTTAATTACAAGGGCCTTTAAATTAAATGCCGCTGCATTCAAAATAAAAGGAGAGCAAGGTAGCCCCCCACGGCTTCATTTTTACTCTTCTGGTTCTTCAGTGAGAAAATGGCTTGGGCCAAACTGGTAGTGTCAAGGTGTCAGAGGAAGGTCTACTGCTGTCTAACGAATTGTGAGAAGCTGGAGGGAGCTAATTACATTGTCAGACATTGCTGGTAAGGAGACCCTTGCCACTGCCTTGCCTGCTCTTCTACCAACAAGAAAGTCCCTCTTGGTATTAGCAGCATGTGTATATGTTAGACAGGACAAAGGAGAGTAGAAATAAAATGTTCAGAGCCTAACATGAGCTATTTGAGGTGAACCTAACCATTCACTTCTCTGAGGCTGAGGGCAGTTCACACCCAGAACCAAACTACCCCAGGCATTCTTCTATCTGCTTTTTCTGTTTGTACAGACACTTGAGACGTTGGAGGGCCTCTGCCCACCTCCCTCTGCTCCACCTTGTGTCTACAGGCTGCCTAAGATAGGGATGGATATACCAAAAATGGGAGAGGGTGGAAAAATGTGTTACAGAAAGAAATGGGACCAAGGGGTCTAAACACAAAGTTGCAAGTTAGGCATTCCCAAACTCTAGTCCTGGCTCATTCCTGGCTCTGGGTATAGTGCTATGAAGTTGCTTGTAAAATAAAGACAACGTGTTAACTGCTATTTATACAGCATAAAGAGAATAAAAAAGGCTCTAAGCCTGCATGTATCATGACTTAACCTATCCTTTAACTGATAAAAGATTATAGGAAGAAACACTTTCTCTGAGCAGACTATTGTACTGTAGGGGTTCTTGTATTTTCCTCTGAAGTGTCTGGTACTGACCACTGTTTGAGAAAGGTAGATGAACCATGTGCTGGATCTGATATGACTCTGTGTCTAAAATGCTCCATCATATGAGAACTCAATATTTTTAGAGCATAGTCACTGATCAAAACAATTTTTTGTCCAGCTCCTATCTTCTCATACAAGATAAAAATTGCATTTCTGGTAGTACTGTAAATTAGAGTACCCATAAACTATAGTAGTGAGTGAGACATCCAAGATGTCTCTAATGAATGCATTCTCTTTCCAAAAAGTCTGAATAATGTATGAGTGATGGGAAAACACTGTGATCTTTCTGCCGTATGCTTCTATTGCCACCTGCTGAAAGGTCAGATGAAATGCAATGTGATTATTAAACTCAGCCACCTCTTGACCAGCCTTTTCATTGTTAATCCAAACCATAAACAGACATTTCTCAGTGCCTTCAGGTTGCACTGAGAAAGGCAGCATTTTTAAATGAAGATAGGCACAGAAGTAAAAACAGCTTTATCCTGAGTGTAAATGTCATACATATAATTTTGGAGGGCCAGACAACTGGAGTTGAATTCTGCTATATAAAACAATGCTCCCAACAAATGGATATTTATGTGCTTCAACTCCTATTTTTCTTGTTAACAAAAATAATTTCTTTTTCATTTAACTGCAGAGTTTGAACATCTTACCAAATATTTTAAAGCTAATTTAGTGCTGGCAAAAAGAATAAATTATGAGCCCTGGAACTGCATCTAATTACATCTCACAACACACATACAGGGCACATTTACATGTTTGTTTGTGCTCAGTAGGTATTGAGCATTTAGTTTAGTACTTGCTTAATGAAGTACTTACTGAATGCACAGTAACTACAGTTACTGCACAGTAGCACCAATGCACATTTTTTTCCATACACTTCATAGATACTAGGGGCTGGAAGGGACCTCATAAGATCATTGAGTCCCACCCCCCTTGCCAGAGATAAATGATCCCAGCAAAATAAACATCCAAACACCTTTTGAATGAGTCCAGAGTAGGTGCTTTGTAATGCTTAATGCACAGCAGCCTAATACTACTGTGCAGTAGTGTATTAGCATGGTTTTTGCCTGGCATGCTACTGCTCAGTATTATTAGACTGCTGCACATTAAGCATCTCATATAGACATGCCCACACAGAATACAATTTTAAGAAGTGACTAGTGATTTTGGGTGACCAATTTGAAGCATTTGATTATTAGAAAACAATGAACTCCTTTACTCTAAGACTGGACCTGTTAAAATTAAAACACAATTACCAGCCAGTTTTGCAAATATTAGCTTTTAGGAAGTAGATTTAACCATAACAGTCTTTAATCCCACAAAACCCCTAAGTAGGAGGAATGTAGAATTGTCTTCCCAAGGGATTAAGGGCATAAAATCACTAGAGTGTTGAGAGATTGTAGAGGCTATGTGAATTGCTCAAGGTCCAGGAACGAATTTAGCATCAGAGCAGCATTAAAACTCAAAAGTTCCCACTGCTGTGGTCCTAGATCACACACAACTGCTTGACACTAGTGAGTATGAAATACATCCACCTAATCCCACCTAAAGAGTGACCTGTGGGCAATGCTTCTGAAGAAGTCAAGAAAGAGCAAAGTTGGTGACTACAGAGGATCAGGAAGAAATGTCTTTGTGCACCTGTATTTGCAAAAAAGGGCCTTGTGTGGGGATACTTTACCTTCATAATCAATGGTTCCATCCCCATCTTTATCAGCTTCTTTCATCATCAATTCAGCCTCATTTTCATTCAGTGGCTCTCCAGCATTCATCAGCACATACCTAAAATACAGATCAAAGCTGGCAATACATTGTCCTCCCTCTGTGAATTTTGAAGCATTGTGCAGCATTAACTATTTCATGTCACATTTGCAGGTAGATGCATTTTGATCCATTTTACATACTGGGAAACTGAGGAATGGAGAGGATGTATGACTTCGCCAAGGTCACACAAGACCTCATTTTCAAATGTACAGAGCACAGGCAATCCATTTAAAGGTAAATGGGAGCTGCCAATAATCAACACCTCTGAAAATCTCAATCATGTTGTATGAATAGCAGAACCAGTAATTGAATCCAGAAATCCTGGTTTCCAGACTCCTACTTTAACCAACAGCTACCCCTACAGCATGCTCTATTCATATTCAATGAAAAAGATGCATGAAATTATGGCATTACACATTCTTGTTACCACCACCCTATACTATCACAGATGTGGGAGCTGAAAAAGCCCTTTTAAGCCATCTGACTCAGGATCATTTTGTACAGTACTTTTTCTAGTGTATTGTCTCTTCCTAACCCCAACACAAACAGAAAGCTGAGATGCTATGATCCCATTGAATGAAGAAAATAGCTCTTGAAATCTTACCCATGGCATTAGTCTATAGGTCTGAGAATCCTGATGTAATAAAACTTTGACAGGCCAATCACACATTCAAATATAGGGATTAGGCCTCTAGAGAGAGGCATGCTACAGTTTACATTATCTGACACAACATAAAAGAAAAGCTAATACAGCAAGGCAAGACATTTGATGCAGACCTTCAGTAGGTGTAAGAAAACACACTCAGCCACATCTCTCTGGGGCTGCCAAACCTTTGTAAAGATTGTTACTATCTTGTGTACACGAGCACATAGAAAAGTGCTGTGCATTATTGCTTCTCTCCCTGCTGGCTATGCTTTGCTTGCTGAGTTGTGATGTGCACAGGGCTGGCCTCTCTGCCACATGCTTGGTGTGTAATTCAGGCAATTTCTATCAGCATGATGATCCCCAAAGCAATAAAGCAAAAAATGGTTTGCAAGAAGCTTCTTGCCATGACAGACCTTCATGGCAGTTATCCTTCCTTTGGCAAAAGGAGATGGGAAATGAAACATCATTTCCTTTAGTGCTTACAAGTTAAAAGAAAGTGAGTGTTATTTTTTAAGACTTTCTTTTTTGCTGGAGCATCACATGGGTTGAAAACATAGAAGTAAATTGGAGCACAACCATATTTGTGGTCAAATTTTAAAAAACAATTCAAGATCAAATATCCGGGTAGCATCAGATTTCCCAAAGAACCCAACAGCTACTGTATATCTAATGGAACTGAATTTTTTTTAGAAAATCCAGAAGCATTTGGTTACTGAGCTGTCTTTGACGAGCCAATTGTAGACTGTCTCATTCCTGTACTCCCAAAGCAGCAGCTCAAAGAGTTGGAACAATCTTACTTTCCTAGAGGACTTCCTGTTTTTGCATACTTTTAAACGATTAGCCCTTTTGGGGCAGATATTTAGGATCCTGCCAAGGCCTGCATTGGCTCTCTTGGAATGAGCTGTAATATCAACTCTGTAGCAACTCAGATCCTGCCAACCTTGGTAGTCCTTTGAAGCTTCTTGGAGCTTTGAGGCAAATCCAGAGCTTTTTTAATTAAAGAACATTTGGGTTTTTTGCTCATCAAGGCCAAGTTCTAGAGATGTTAAACAATCTGGAGCATTGTCTCTTAATGATAAACACAAATTTTGGAGCTCCATGGCTTCTCTTTTAACTCACTTATGAATGAGAATTTGATTAATGCTGCTTAACCAGAGGAATGTTTCTTTACAATCTTAACTAAAAGAACTAATCTCATCCAGACTAATGGAAACTGTTTTTGTATGCATTTGGAAATCTAGGCTAATTTTAAAGTGCAGAGTAGAAATATTAGCTACTTATATGACATACTCTTTTTTAATTGCTTTTTATTTTCTTTTGTATCTTTTTCTCATGTTTTGCTGCCTTTTACTTTTGGTCCCACATTGATGATGACTCCAGCTTAGTTATATTTGTTGTTAAAAATACTTGCTCAGATGCTCAGCTCATATAAATCAGCATAGTTCAAATTGTAAGTGGTTGATTTACTCAAACTAAAGACATGGGCCCAAATCTCTCTGAGTATTAAAGCTGAGCAAATTATTTCTTTGACTAAATGCTTCCTAAAGCCACAGCAATCATCTTTCATGGCCTGCTTCTGATACTTAAATCAGTGGGAGTTGGGTGTGCTTGGAGCCCAAAAGCATTACAAGAAGCAAATCTACTACTTACTTGAGTGTATCCCATTCAATGTAGCCTTTGTGTTCCTTATCGAAGACTTTGAAGGCTGCCCTCAGCTCTTCGTCCTGATTTTTAGATTTCTCATGGTAAATGCCCATCAAAACCAGGAAACCATCGCAGTTGAAGGTGCCCTTATCTAAAAGAACAATGAAGTACTAGGGTACTTTAACATGCTAGCTTTTGAGTAGCTATCTAGTAAGGATCTGTCCTGCCTTGGTGATTCCTCTTGTGAACCACAGAGCATCTGGGAAGGTGGGGAGAGGTTCTTACTGTCTTTGTCCACATCTTTGGCCATTGTTAACAGCTCTCTCTTGGTTGGGTTGATCCCCAAGAGGCTCATAAGCTTCTCCAGGTCTTCTGTTTTAACTAGCCCATTGCCCTCCTCATCAAACATCTCAAAGACGCCTTTATACTCTGTTATCTGTTCAGGTGTCAGTGCCTCACTCTGTACAAAAGAGAATAAATCAAAAAGATCCTGCTAGCTCCCAAACAATTCACTAAACAATTTTCCAGTTAGATAAACTCAGAACGGTGCAGGAAAAGATGAAACAAGCGTGGTCTAGTTAGGGTCAGCACTTAAGGGGATACAGCATAGACATCAAACATACGGGTAGGGTACATGCAAGATTGTCATCTGCATAATGCGATTCCCATGGTCTGATATCTCAGCAAGAACCAATGACAGGAAAATTAGGCAGGGAGGTAGAGGTAGAGGTAGAGGTATCATTGCAAAGCCAGGACTCTTGAAATGATAGCCCTTCCCTCCACCCAGACAAAAATGTGGGCCATCTCTGACTATTTGCCTAACATGGCAACATTCTTTCTGTTCCCCAAGCATTGTGAACTAGACCGTTTCTGAATAGGAAACTAGTGCTACAAGGGGTATAAGCACATGCCTGACTGTGAAAACATGAGCAATTCTGATGTGAACATGCAGAACTGGTACCTACATCAGGAGTGGGAGTATGACTGCTAAGTGACATCCATGATAGAGAGTAGGGAAGGAGTTAATGCTGATTGCTCTCTCATTAACAAGAGCTTCATCTCAACTGAGCCTGCCCTGGTAGATGTGGGAGGTAGCCACTTTCTGCAAGTGTTCAGATGTTTTTGTTTATTAAATGGTAGCGCTGGATCCCTCAAAGGAACCCCGATGGAAGAGGAACATTGCACAGCTTTAAAAAGGCTATTTTCTGCCATACGTTGCTGTGAGAGCTACCCTGGAGACAGGCACTAATGATTTAAAAATGAAGTGTTCTCTGCCAGCCAGTGGGGTAGAGACTAGAGTCTCTGCTACAAATTCATGGTGTGTGATCCATTCGTGCATCTGGCTCCCTGGAGAAGTGTTGGGTCTATATTTAACTTACGCATAGTTTGCTGCGGGGGTAGCAGAGAAGGATTCATTTACTGAGTCTGCTCTTCTGGCTCTTTTCTATCGCCCTCCTAGTTCTCTTTGCCCTCCCCTCTCCCCTGCCTTTTTTTCTGTATCAGGATACAGAATGGACAGGAAAATATTTTGTCTTTTTAAATGGAATGAATCGCTGCTGAGATTAATGGTTCAGCAAAGTTCTCAGCTGAAGTCTGTTTATTCCCCAAGGTACAGAGACCTGCCTGTTCCTCTGAGTCCTGGTATTTCAGGCCAGGAGCAGAGCAGGTTTATTGTTACTCACCCAGTTGCCCATCAGCACAGGACTTAGGGGCAAATCCAGTCTTTCTGTAGAGGAGTCAAAGATTATGCAGTTTTCATTTGATCCAAACCTCCAGAGCCTTACTCCTTAAGACAGTCAAATCTCCAGTGCTGCTGTTCAAAGCCAGCATTGCATTCTTTGTTACCTTGGACTCTCTGGGAGTTGCTGTCCGGTCCCATATGTTACCTGATGGTATTGAACTTTTTCATACTCTGGTATGCATTTGGCATTATCAATATGTAATTTATGTTTGCAAACAACAAACCTTTTAAAACCCTCTGGACTACAAGCAAAACTGTATCCTCTTCTCTGAGAGAGATCATGAACAAGGATCTAACAAGCTTTTCCCATTTTAGATTTGCTATAGCAGCCCAGGCTAGGAAATTACTGCTCTAATTCCATGTAACAGAGGTTTAGGGATGGTGATTGTGTCTCATAAGCAGCTGATCTTAAAGCCTATAACACCCTACTGTTTACTCACAGTTAGTGTATCCTGCTTTAGCTTAAATTAGTGGGGCTGAACCTGGCCCATAGTACTGTGTCATCTGGCCCAGGGATTCCCCATGGGTCCATAAATTTGATACTAGGGGAGTGGTGGCAGTGTTAATTGCTACGACTGTGGAAGTGGCTCTGGAGGCCGTGAAAATTACTGCTGCCACCACTCCCTTGATGCTAAATTTCTGGACCCAGGGGGAGTCTTGTGGGCTGAATGACACAGCCCTGTGTGCCAATTGCACTGATATGCAGGGCCAAGCCAGTGCACAGTGTCACTCTGCAGCAACATCAGGTGTGTGGGGCTCGGCTGCTGCCTCAGATCACACCTGTGGATGAATCCTATACACCCACCCCATGCTGGATCTGGCCTGCAGATCAGCTTTGTGTCACTCATCCAGTCCATGGGACCAGAAGATTGAGTATCGTTGGCTTAAATGATAAGGGCTGGAGCTCTGGATCATAGGTTCCATCCCTAATGAGGTTTCATAGCGACTTTGTTAGAATTAGGTGCCCCATCATGTGTCCTAGTACAGCATTTCTCAGCCTGTGGGTCGCAACCTGAAAGTGGTTTGCAAGAATATATGAAAGGGAACAAACAAATATTTCCTTGCTGTGTTCTTGAGAGTTTAAGTATTTCCCAGCAGTTCTAATCCACATTCAATTCTCCTTGCCATCATGCTGCCCATTTACTGACATTTCTGTTCTTCTCTACTGAGGGGGTCTTAAGCTTCAAAATCACTTAAGCACATGCTAACTAATGTCTTCTCTGAGTCCAGCACAGAGAAAGCAGTGTTGTATCCAACATGTGCTATGCTAGGCAAGGTAAAGAGCAGCAGGGAGCCTGAGATGGATGATGTAGATGGATACCACTCAGCCTGAAGTATTTCCTATTGCTTTCCAGTCTCTTCAGTGTCTATTTGAACCGGTACATATGTGCAGGGATGATTTTGTGTTCCTGCCTCTTGTCTCCTCCTGCAAACATCAACTTCATAGGAGATTTTTCTCTACAAATCTGCTGGGGTGACACTACAGACAGACAGCATGTGTAGCTGGGCACAGAAGAAGGCCCGTGGTGAACACGAGAGGGCAGCACTGCACTTTCTAGCAGGCAGCACAGCAGGAGAGGGCCACGGGCTGGCAAACAACGAGGCCTGGGTGTTGCTGGGAGGAAATGGCGGCGCCGAGCCTGAGTTTTGCAACTGCAGAAGTTCCTCTGTTTGCAGCATGAAGCTCCTGCCTGCTGGAGGAGGGCGGGGGAATAAGCACTGTTCCAGCCTGACTGCCCTTTTCCGGAAAGCTTTCACTTTTCCAACTCTTCCTTTGGAGTCAGCACAAAGCTGGATTGACTGAGCATCCATGTAACTGGGGGGAGCGGCAGAGAGACCCAATAAGGTTCCCTGCCTGCCAGGCCCTGGGCACCTCAGATCCCAGCAGACCCTGGGGCTGGATCCAAATGTTAGCACCTGAGCTCATCCCCATTTGGCAGCTCCAGCAGCCTCGCTACTGGGTACTTGTGCTGCCAGGCCAGCCTAGGGGACCCCTCAGCTGTCCCGGCAAAGACCACAGAGCTTCAGTTTTGTGGCATGCTTGTATACATCAGTCTCCAGGCAAGAAGACGTCCCTGTGTCCTCCTTACCAGAGCATGCAGTGAGCAGAGAGGGGGGACTAAGAGATGGGAGGGAGGGAGGGAGGGAGGGCAGGGAGACTGTGGTTTCAGATGGGATAGATTAGAGAATAAGCCCACTGGTTTACATCCCACCTGATGACCCATCAGGTGTAAGCCAGTGGGCTCCTCACCACCTCTCACCACTCCCGAGGTCCTGGCCATGGTAATTCAAACAGAACTATTCCTCCGACTGGAACAAGCTGCCAGGCACGGGGACTTTTGTCTTTCCTTTTCATGTATACAGCCAGCTAACAAGTCAGCCGCCACAGCTTCCTCCTTCAACCAAACTGCCTTGGCCCTTTTTAGGAACCACCATAGAACAAGCCTGTCACAAAAGGAATTATTAGCCTGTAGGTTTGTCTCTGTCTCTTCTTTTTCTTCTTTTAGACAGCGAAGGTGTGGCAGCTTCTTTACCTATTTCCATGTTTCACTTGTCTTTCTCTCCCTAAAATACAAATTTCAGTTGAGCTGGCACTGCCAGCTTTAGCAAAGTACATATTCTCACTAGTCTTGCTGCTGCATTCTGGTCCAGACATGGATACATTTTCAGAGAGCGTGAGTGGTCCTCTGTACCAGACAGGTTAAGGCTCTATAAAATACCTTACAATCCTTCAAAACATCTGTGGCCAGAGTGGAAGCAAGTCATCATAATTATTACAAGCAAAGTGCTCAATACCTGAGTATCTTGGGGCCTTATTTCTTGCCCTTCCGCCTCCCCTAAATTGAAGCCTTACACTACTGAGATTCCCAGACCAGCAAACTGGAGCAGAGGATACTAAGAGCTTTGGGGGTGAATAGTAAGGCAGGATCAGGCTTTTAACATTCCCCGGATTTCAGAGCCTATGGAAAAGTTGCATGAAGCAGCTTTCAATTTTGTCACGTAGCCGTCTTGAGAGTATGGCTGCTTCCACTCAATTAATCTCCTCTCCAGGTGCCAGGGCAAAGGCAATTGTTGTCTCTTCAAATTTCTATTAAAATGTTTCCTCACCTCAATAGAGTTGGAAACATTTTATCACTCCAGGGAGTAAGATGGTGAATGGGGGATACATGAATTCTACTTAAATACCTGCAGCAAGCAAGATACTCATCCCAATTTGCAAAAAGTACATTGCACTTTGATAGCATGCCCAGCCTGAAGAGACAGACACATTTCATACCCAGCACTTGGTTTTCACAGTTCCTACAGCAGACGGGGAAATAGAGTGAGGTAAAGTGACCAAGGTCACTAGCAAGCCCATGTCAGAAAAAAAATACCTCTAGAAACCCCCGAGTCCTATGCTTTAGCTGCCAGCCCATCATCCAAATGCCCAGCAGGCAGCACGGAAAGACTCCCATCTGGTCACCAGATTCCCCTTCTGAACTGAGCCCATGAGCAAAACATGGGATCTCTGCAGTCATGTGCAGGGTGTTGATATTTATAAACTTGGGCCCAAAGGAGATCTTTTTAATTGCCAGCTTCCATTCACCCTGCCGATCTGTGATTCAGTCAGGAAAGGGGCGTCAGCTTTTCCATTACAAATGGTTATTTTCAGGAGCTCATAACTGCTGCCTGGAAAACTAAAGCTGACCCAGAATAAAAAGACACTTCCTAATCGTAAGAAATTCTGTAGTATTAATTAATCAAAGCCAGGAACTTGCAATGGAAACTACAGCTTTGTCTTCAACCCCACTTCTATTTACTTCTGATGAGGCAGAAACACAAAAGTTGCATTGATCTCCTATCTTTTGCTTTGTGTCTTGATGCTAGCTCTGGCTGCCTACATATCTCAACAGACAGAAATTGTTACCAGAGGCCAACACAGAGCCATGAGTCCCTACAAAGTAATGCATGTGTCTTTGAAGCACTCATCCTGGACATTGCTTTCCTTTTGTTTATACTAGTGAGTTTAATGTTACGTGGTTATGATGATTTGCATATGCCAGCTGCTATTTTCTCCATGATGGGTGGCTCTCTGGTTATTTGACATATAGAGTATTTGGAAATTAAATAGCTGACTTTCATTTAGAATTTGGTTTTGCACTAGCTAAGTCAAAGCACAATTTGATCCTTAACACAGTGGAACAAATTATTTAAGGTTGCTCTTAGCTTGTTTCAGCATTTTTCTCAGCTGAATATCACTGATATTTAGTGCTTTTCTTCTGCATATTCAAGTGGATGCAGTATTCCCCATTTTTTGCACTTTGTCCAAATTGCTTATTCCTGGGTACTGTTAACAGCCACAGGGGTGTTTGCACTTCCATGATGAATGAGGTGATCTTCTTGTACATACCATTTATAACCAGTTTTCTTTCAGATCATTAGATAAGGCATGGCAAAAGTGCCAGTAATTATTTATTAGTGCTGTAGAGATGTGAATCTCTAAATCAGAATCCTTCCCTTTTGTGAAATATACAGTATCTGTTGTGTTGGTTTTAGAGAATAACCTTTCAGAAAACTCCAGGATCACCACATTTCCACTCATAAAGAATTAATCCTGCATATTTTTCCCCTAGAAAATGCTTTAATTATTAAACACTTTTTTTTTAAGTTTTCAAGACCAGAGAACTGAATGTAAATGGATGTATTAAAAAATGTAATAATTTGTTAATGAGGTAGTCATTCAAGCATGTCTAAATAATTTTAGATGAGACAATTAACCAAATGGGAATCCGCTAAGTGTCTGTCAGAGCTGCTCAATGCTATTCTGAAATCATTTGTCTTAGGAAAGTCTATACTGCAATATGTTTTCACACAAAGCCTTGCAGAGACTGGTTAAAGCGTGTGGGATCAATATTGCAGGTACAAAAAAAATGTTCCAATCATTAGAGCCTGGGATAGCAAGGAAAGACGATGCACTTACCATATTCTCAGTCTTTGAAGGCTGCTCAGACAGAAGATCCTTAGCCTACAAGTAACAGTGTCTGGCCCCAGATGGAAAGTGAGCTCCCTCTTTTAGATTGTAGAAGAGGGTTAGGCTGTCAGT